ACCTACCTCTCGGAGGACGGAGACACGTAAGTGACCGCGGCCCCTGCCCTCCCGCCTTCCCCGGGGGGCGGCTTGCGAGCGCCGGGCCCCCAGCCCCGGGCTTGGCCCCTCGCAGGCTGCCGGCAGCACGGAGCCGGTGCCTAGAGCTAAGCCGGGCTTTACCCGCCGTGGTCCCCAGCCCTCTCCCGAGGAGCACCCGTTCAGCTGGGCCATGGCGGACTCCCCGAGCCCCGCTCCTGAGAGCCTCCCTCCCGTCTTGTGCTGCACACAGATGCTGGGCACCCTGGCGTGGGTTTGGGTGGGTGACTGGTGGGGCATCCGAGCCAGGTCCAGCAGAGTGAGCAAGGAGAGGCAGCCCAGGCAACGTGGCACAGCACGGACCCGCTGTAGGAAGACAACTTCCACTTGCTATGGGGCTGCTAGCAACTAGAAGGTGGTGTGGGAGCAAATCAAGCCCCCCTGCTGTCTCTTCCCCAGAGAATGCAACATTTCATCCCCAATGGGGAAGGCTTGGCTGCGTGAGATGGAGTGTAAGCAAGACCCGAAACGAGATTGGCCATGCAGGGCAAGACTTTGAGATGGTTGTGTTGGGGCCACAGATGCTGCTCAACCGAGCGACCCAAGAACTATTTGTTCTCAGGTGGAAATCACCTTGCTTTGCCAACCCGCCTGCACAGCCGCAGCTTTTGGCACGGATGTGATGCACGCCCTGCTGTGGGGCTGCCCTCCAGGAGCCTCTGTGATGGAGACAAGTGTTTCTCTTAATGAGACGGGGCTTCCCACATCCGTAATGCCCTCTCAAGGGCAGAGGCATCATGCTGGAGGTATTTAGTTTGGCTTCTGGTAACTGCCTTCAGCTAATCACAGCTTTTTCCTGTTGTGCATTCCCTCAGCAGAAGGTTCTCATCATGAGTGCACGTGTAGAGCACGAGCGAAGCGTGCTCACAGCTGAGAAGGGCAAAGCTTTGCCCCAAACCCAGGCTGGAGCTTAATACTGAGTAATGGTGCAGGAGGAAGAGAAACTAAGAGGCACTGACACGAGCAAGCAAATGTCTTCAGTAGCTGGAGCAGCAAGAGGGCTCTGTCCTTGCCTGGCAGAGCACATCTGGTTCTGAGGCTGAAGATGAGCTGGGAGCCAGCCGGAGTGTTTACTTGCCGGTTAGGGAGGAGCCTGCGCATCTGCTAATTAGTTCATTAATGCTCACTCTGGGATCGGCTCCGAGAATTGGCTGGAAGTCTAGCGGCAAGCAAGGTTAGACTAAACCCAGCCTCCCACGCTCCCCAGCGGGTGCTTTCTAGTCCTGTCCTATCTACAGGCTGGCTCTGGGGCTCCTTGGCTTCGCCACCTTTCCCAGCTGTAATGCGAGAGCCAAGGTGCCCACGGAGAGAGCCAGGGGTCTTTTAAGCAGAGCTGTGGAAGTAGCACCTCAGAAAAGCCCCCCCCAGGCTAGTCCGTCGCGGTGTGCCCAGGGCTCCCCGCTTGCTTTTCTTTAGTGAGTCTGGTAGGTGCAGCTGCTTGGAGATGTTTTTGCTGCTTGGGGCTGTCTTGTAAGGTGGCTGAGCCCTTTGCTTGTCAGATTTGCTTGGCCAGAGTCTAACGCAAGCATCTCATTAACTAGGGAAACATTAATCGGTGGTGCCTTGGTTACTGTAGGCAGGAGAGCGCTCCAAAGGGTTGCAGTTGCTCTTCTGTTTTCTCTCGCTCACGGTGCAGTTCCGAACAGGAAATCTGTAAAGAGCAAGGGAGGCAGCAAAAAGTCTGCCGGTGCTGCAGCTCGTACAGCTCCGGGCTGGCCGTGTCCGCACAGGAGCCGGCTTTCCCGGGATGTGCTCCCAGCGCTGGGGGAAGAAAAAAAAAAAAAAAAAAATACTATTCTTGTGGTTAGAGCGGCGAGGCTGTGGATTTCTGCCTCTGCTATTCCTGTCTCTCCTCCTGACCTTGCGGGAGAGGTAGGCGGCATTTATATTTAGAAATGCTGAACATCCACCACTCGGTCGATGCAAATGGGGACTGCGAGCACCCAGCAACTCATTGAACTGCCACCAGCTTTGTACGCAAAAACAAGTTGGGGCTGATAGTAATGCTAAAGTCTATGGAGCAATTGCTCATCTGGTGACAGAAGGTCGCCAGAGAAAAGGGATCAGATGGCCGGAGGCTGCATCCCTTTCATCCAGCCAGACAAACCCATCGACTTCTTTTCATCTCTGTCAGCAGCACATTTCCTTGTGTGCCTTGCTTGAATGTCTGCCTCAAAACAGCTCCAGGCCGAGAATTAAAATCATGCTGCCATTATATTTCAGAAGACTTGGGCAACAGCACTTTCCTGTAATTGTAATTCTGAAAATACAAAAAGTTCAGGGGTTTTGGCCAAGTAGCTCCTGTTTCCCCAGATGCCCCGGCTGGTACCGAGCGGAGAGGAGCACCGGGCTCACACAAAGGGAGCTGGCAAAAGTCTTGGCTGTCCATCTGGCAGAAGTCTTGGCTGTCCGTAGCTCCCCTGGGCTCGCCTCAAGGTGCGCCTGCAAGGAGGCTGTGTTTGCCAGCCTGCCGCTTGTGGGGGAAGTGTGCGAGGCGGCGGCAGAGGCGAGGGGCATGTGCTTGGGCGGTTGGAGCGTCAGCAGGATCTTCCTTGGATACCTTCCTGCTCGCCTCCGTGGGAGGGAGCGTTAACCCAGGCAGGGTGAAGCAATGGGGCTAAAACTGGCTCTTCTCGTGCTCAAAATTAGAAGGGGTCCTGCTTCTAGAGGAAGGAAATTGGCCAACAGGGGAGATGTGGGTGTGATGGCCAGTGAAATGTGTGGGTGCTGTCTTCCAAGAATCATTTGCCCAAGCATCAGCCCCCCGCCACGCCTCCGCAGTGCCACTGGCGGGGCCTCTGCCTGGGGGAAGTCAGAGCTGCAGTAATCGGGCAGCGGCATATCAGTCCCCGAGAGAGAGCGGCAGAGCCGGCATGGCAGGAGAGGTCAAGGATGAGGAACGGCGTGACAGGCAGAAGATGGTGGCTGCGCTTAGGGCAGTGATAGGTATCCTGCTTATTCTGCAGCTGGATAGAGAACAAGCCCTGTGCGCTCAAGCTCAAGCAGTCTCCTCCAAGCATCCATCTTTTCCGTGTGAACCAAGCGGTCTCCTCCGAGCATCCGTCTCTTCCACGTAAACCAGCTTCTTTTTTGCTGAATTGAGTCCCGATGGGACTGCTCTATGTGGAAGTAAAGAGCGGGGCTTTCCAGCTGCAGGCATGGCTAGCTCTGGGCAGGCTGCAGGCAGCTTTATCGCTGTGGCCCGGCCTCTGGACAAGCTCAACCTTTGTTAGGATTCACCGAGGAAACCCCCTCCTTCCTGACCTCTCCAGGCAGACACATGAGTCCGGCGTCCTGGGAAAGGGGTGGGTGTGGGACCAGCTCCTTCGAGGTGTGATGGGATCGCCTGTTGCATTCCAGCACAAGGGAAAACCTTCCCATTTGCTTGGGCTTATGGCAGCCTCTGCCAACTCTGGAGAGGCAGAGTTGATTCATCAGTGTGGGAAATCAGGCTGAACTTCCTCTCTGTAGGACTATATATTCTATCTTAAACTTAAAAACGTTTCCCTTTCTGCCTGCGTCGGTCCTTGGACCACACACCAGTTTATGCCATCGGTACCTGATGCCACAGTGATGGGCCCCTGGGGCAGCTGGGTAGAGTGCATGCAGTCTTGCTGTGGGCCCTCTGGCTGTGCCATGCTTCAAAAGGCTGGGGGCTGCACCTCCGCAGGAGGGCGGCTCTCTTCTGCGCGGGGCTCCGTATGCAGAGCAGTGCGGCTGCTCTGCGGGGGTGAAGGTCGGGGGTCCCCAGCACAATCAGAGGAGAGAGGTCTCAGCCTCCTTCAGATGGAAAATGGGACCGAGCGGTTTTGGTTGGGTGCATGTTTCGGCGAGGGAGGGGAGCGGAGGAAGCCTGACTTCCTCCTTCCACCAGAGACAAGTGCTGCCCCGTCTGCTGATAAGAAATCACGTGCCAGTGACTTGTGGGCTGAGATGCCTTAACAAGGGCTTGGGGACAGTTAATCGAGTAAAATTGGGGCCCCACGGGAACTAATGTTCTCCATGTGATGGTAGCAAAGGGGCCTTCCCTGCTGAGCCCTTGCCTGCGTGGGTGGGCATTGAGCGCAAAGGCTCATCTAGCGGGGCCGAGAGCCAGTTCTAACCATTCACTGGCATATGCCGGGCGTAGCCCTCCCGTCTCGTGTAGCCCTGTGCTAGAGATCTTCCCCGGGCAGGAGCAGAGAGGTTGTCCCCCCTCAGGCTGCCTGCTCCGGTGTGGCTGGCTGCTCAGTGCTTGCCCTCCCGTACCCCTGGATCCCAGCACGTGTGCCTGGGGGAACGCTCGGCGTGTGACAGCAAAGGGAAACCACTGTGAAAGAAGAAAAAAGAAGCAGAGGACCGGAGAGACACAGTTTTAGGAGAAGGATTAAAGAAGTCTGATGCAGAGAGCACACCTGGTTGCTGGTCAGGCTGGGAGTTCCCCGGCTTGGCTGGGCTGGGCTGTTGCTGGCTGCCCAGCAGTGGGATGGCCATAGTTAATGGGAAGCAAGGATGCTCTTGGTTTTTCCAGAGGCACTTTAGAAAGCTCCTTGCCTGATTGCCAGGGGAGTTTGAGTCCATCCCAGGTTGCTCCCTAGAACACTGCTGTTGTGGGGCAGAGAAGAAAATGAGTCCTAACGTGGGGCTGGCCAGAGGGAGAAGGGAACCTGCTGTGTCCAGCTCCCCATGCCTGGACTCTCAGCTCTTCCTCTGTGCGTGCTCAGGAGTTTGGTGAGCCGGGGAGGGCTTGGTGCCCCTCCAGGCAAGGGCAGGCAGCTCTGCGCAGGCTCCTTTAGGATGCCCCAGAAGTTGCTGGCTGCCACAGGGGTCACACACCTACAGCCTTGGCATAGGGTGGGTAAGTCCTGGCAGCCCTCTGAGATCGTGCAGGCAAGAAGAGATTTTTTTTTCCCTGTTCAGATGACTTCAGCCTGGCCTGGAGGAAGTTTCTTCAGACTTTCCGCCTGCA